AAATAAAACATCATATCCCCTATATTCAACACCTTCACAAGAAACATCACAAACACCATAAATACTGCCACCACAAAAATAAAAGCGCTTACAATAATTGCTTTTTATATTTCGTTAAACCAAACTTAATTTATAAAACAAAAAATTCAACGTTCATTCAACAAACGTTTTTCATGCATCAGTCTGTCATCGCAATATGCGATCAAGTTCCAACAACAAATGTGAGAGAGAGAGAAAGAGACGGGGGGGGGGGGAGTGAGAGAGAGAGAGAGAGAGAGGGTTTCCGTGTTATCAGAAGTCAAAGTCAACTCATTTTGTGCCTCACCACACACGTCTATGTCTTTATTTCACGTCCGTACTCTCTTTCTCTTGCTATGTTCGATCGAGCACGTTCACAGTGTGTTACCACGCGCGTCTATGTCTTCGTTTCAAGTCCGTACTCTCTCTCTCTCTCTTGCTGTGTCAAGATCTTGCACGTTCACCGTGTGTTACGAATTACGAATTTCAAAAACCTCCACGCCCCCTAATGTCTTCGCACCGACGTTCGACGCTTTTCGCTAAGAGCAGGCGTTCAGATGGTTGAAACGAGAGCGCGACTAGTCGCTGCATCTTCTATTATACTGTTCCCAAAGAAGAAAGATCACGATCGACCATTTGCCACACTTTTTCTATGGATCAACCTGCCATTAATGCAGCTGATCAAGTTTCAGCAACAATTACTGCCGACGATGCAGAAAAAGTTGATTGGATTGTTGTAAAAATTATTAAGTGCGACAGACAAAGCAGTCGCTACAAATTAATTGATGAAAAATTGACACAGCAACAGTACAAATTCGCTGCATCTTGTATTATCTTGTTCTCAAAGAAGGAAGATCACGGTCTCTCATTTGTCGCACTTTTCCTATGGATCAACCTGCTATCACTGCACCTCATCAAGTTCCAACAACAGTTACTGCCGACGATGCAGAAAAAACTGATTGGATTGTTGTAAAAATAACTAAGTGCGACAGAAAAAAACAATTGCTATAAACTTATTGATGTTACCTAAGGGAAAAAAAAAAAGACAGAGAGACAAAGAGAGAGAGAGAGAGAGAGAGAGAGAGAGAGAGAGAGAGA